ACGGGAAGAGTGATCATTTTGTCTTGTGTGTAGGATTAGTATTATCGAAACTAACGCTTATGTTCCGTTCTTTTTGCTATGCTCATGAGGCTAGGCCTAAGGGGTATCGTTTTTCTGTGGTAATGGAGGCGGAGCTTTTTCCGTGGAAGATTCCTTTAAACAGATTCGCTGACCACATCGGTGAATAACGGTCGAGGAGTTCCTTCGACCAGGGGTCGTATTTGCTCCACTTTGCCCACTGAGATGCGAAGGGGGGTCGTAGGACCATTCATCGCCGAATAATGGTGCTGCTCTCCACTCATTCGCTGTCATCCTCAATCTTGGTTTTAGTTAGCATAATGCGAATGCGAATGATATCTTACAACTGACTGGAGTAAAATTTAAATGGAAAGTGGCCGTTGGTCTGATGGGTAATGATCAGTCTGACGATATAGTCGTAAGGTAACGCGTCCTCCAAATGTATCGTGAGGAATGGACAGCGACTGTCTACTCCAAATTAATGTACACGCTTCGAGAACCTATCAGTGGGGGAGCAGAATATGAGTAAAGAATTCAATACGGGGAGATTCGAACCTTTTTGGCTTCATCAAATACTGCAGCCACAAATGTATCTCAAAACAGGATCGGAAAGGAAGCAACGTAAATAGAGGAATGACCAGGCTATACTATGATTCTGATTAGTCGAGACTAAGAACACCTTTTGCACGAGTAAGTTGTCCTTTTTGACAAGACACCTTTCAAATGATTCCGAGTGGGGTCACTGCATGGCGCATACCAGAACGGTATGGATCTGCGTCAAGTGTATCATTTTCAGTCTACTCCATTGGAATGGTGTTTCCTAGAAGCATTTTGAGGGTGCTCAACGCTGTTCCCTGCTACAGCAAGCGAGGAATAGAGCTTTCCAGTGGCTTTGGGAATTCCCTTGACATTTTCTCGACGCAGATTTCTCGCTAATCGGGGGACATTTGAAGCAATTTTGATGCTTATCGGAAAGCTCCAATCTTCTAGTTTACAACGCTTTTTTCCTCTTTCTAAATATTATAAATGAAGGAAGTTATGGTCTTCCAAAGAGCGAAAACTCACAAGTAAAACTCGTTCTCCTCGACAATTACTCGACGTTTTCAATTCTCGAGATAAGACTAGCTCGAAAAATTTTTCAGCACGGCTTAGAAACTAGAAATCACGCTCTTCCAGAATCTGTCTTCCTTTTTTGAAATGATTGTCTTTATAGAATGTTAGAGCCCTTCAAATAACGGGTACATTTGACGATTTTTCCAACGAGCGCGCTCCAGGCACAGCACGCGACGCAACCGCGGGCGGTTAGCGCCGCTAGAGCGCGGGACTGTTCAACTGTGTGTAGGCGGCGCCTCCTTCAACGTTCTACTTCCCGGCCAATGTGGCCAAGGCTAAATTATTGGGAGGAAAGAGGGAGAAGCCACTCTGAGCAGAAATGGATTTAGGATTTGAGCCGTGCATTTGAGTGGCAGCGTCGCTGCCTCCTTCTCCTAATCTAAAACTAACATTTTTGTTGTAAAACCGGATATGGAAAGGTTAAAACGGGGGTCGTATCGGGGTCTGCATTATGGAGGGGGGTCGTAAAGAGGCGGACATTTCCTCGACACGATTTTCACCCTGCTTTACACGTTGAACTCATTTGGCAGCGCAGCCGCTTAACACTCGTGAGGACCGTAGATGGACCCGGGGGGCTTCGACCCAGGCGCATGGGAAGATTCCTTTAAGGTATCGTTTTCTGTGGTAATGGGGGCGGAGCTTTTTCCGTGGAAGATTTCTTTAACTACTGGTATATTTTGTTTAATCGTTAGAAGCCAAGAGGTTGTCACGAAGTAATTCTAATCCATTCGTTTGAATGTAACAAAAACCAGCTAAGCTGAAGGGTAAATATTCTATGAGGAATGAAGTTTTCAAGAATTGGGCTGTCGGTGGTCGTAAGACTGTGACGAACATGACGTTTGCGCATCATGCGCATTGCGTGATTGCACACAAACAGCAATGTTTTTGGGGTCGGTCTGATTTCTAGAAGTGCTGAGGAAGAATTGTGGCTTCGTCGTAAACGAATAAGTAAACAAATCACGTGAATAGAACAACGGCACAACTGGCGGATATTGCCATATTTAAATGCAATAGCGAAATGATATACAACTTTTGGACGCATTATCATGTTACATTATGCATTATGATCCTGTAACGGGCGGACAGCATTGAATAAACAGAAAAACACTATTACATGGTAAATAAAAGTTATTCCATAATAGGAACAAGGCCATCATGTTTTTCTGCGGCCCTGAGATTACTGTGTTTACCAAGCCGTAAATCTGTAAGTTGGTAAGATTTTTCCATTAGATCTGTGATAGCTCAAAACATCGCTTTCCACTAAAAGGAGAATTACATGGGAATCCTGTTCAGCAAAGATAGCTGTCCTAGTGAGATTTTTGTGAAGAGGCAGGTTACGATAACGCCGGCGATTTTCATAACAGTTAGGCCTAAGACGCTAGCGAATTTTTTGCTTTAACACATTGCGTACCACGTGCGCCACCATGTGGCGCACGATTTGGAGCGAAAGATCATAGTCCTTATCTGATTTATTTGGCATTTTTCAATGCTCCTTAAGTGCTTGCACTCATTTTCAGAACCAGGAAAGCATAAGTATCATCACTGATAAAATTGTTGATAGATTAATGATGATTCATTTTTTAAAAACATGAAAAAGGTATGGAGATGCTCGTATAAGGGCGGTCCGCAATGACCTACGAACTTTGTTTAACAAGCCGTGAGCTTGAAAAATTGTTGCGAAAATTTTGATAATTGCAAAGTTTGCAGGTGAGAGAACTGCAAGTTCGAAATGCGGTACAGTAACGTGCATACACGATAGGCCGCAAGGACTCATCGTTTTTAGTTATGCCCGATCAAAAAATTGCATTGTGCACATACTGTGCAGGGTGGGTCGACAAAGTCGCTCTTGTCTCTCAACGTGTCAAAAGCCAACGAAGTCACTTATTGTTATTCTAAGGCTGACTGGCTGCGCTGCATAGATTTTTATTGGAATCAGAAAAAAGTGATATTCTATTGGTCTAACAGTGAGCAATAATTTTCTATTTTAACCGATTTAGCTACAATCGAAAGCTTTTCGGGCTTGAACGATCTATGTTCTGAGATTTCATCCAAGACTGGGTTCCTGTTAACACTACATCCTGCGCACCGCTTGAATAAGAAATAAATTCCATGGGGGCCTGAAGGGGAGCAGTTTGAAGAATAAAGCAAAATGCGTAGAATGGAAACCTGTCTTTTCTATGCTGGTTTCGTTTTTTTCCGAAGAGATCGAAAAACAAAGAGTTCAAAAAGGCGAAGGAACACGTTAAAAATATGCGGGCTTTGGAATACGGAATTGATATGCAAGATAAATTCGGTGAGTGCCCCGTTAAGTGTTGTTTCGTTTCTTTCAGTTTTGCCTTCCTTGCTTTCACAGCACAAGTAGGAGGAATTTGTCAAGTTTCCCTTGTCTGTGTTCAGACCCAGCGTTTTGCTGGAACAAAGTATCACATATAAAGATCAGACGGTTAAACGCGATATGAATAGAATTCAGGTTATTCGTGCCTAAAAGAACGGTCTAGAAGTCTGGAACCTGCTAGAATTTTTGAACAGAATGGATGATAGCCTTAAAGTTATACTCATATCAAGGAAATTCAGAGATTCGGCGGTATTAGTGGGTCTCAGAATTCGAGTGGGTCGTGAATGCGAGAATGTAGAGGCGTGAGCTGGGGCTACTGGGACATTTATACCTCTGAGGAATGTTCGTTGTTTGGTGATACGATGGGTCCTTAGAAAACTGTCGAGAATTTTGTTGATCGTCGACGTTTCGATGTTTGCATTAGTTGTTGTTGATGTTGACAAGGAATAACATGGCACAGTATGCACACATCCAAAGCATCCGTGGAGAACCCTAGCCCGAGCTCCGGAAGAAATACATCTGCTTCGAAAGTCTTATAGAAACTTCAGTTGAAAGCACCCATTTATAGCAGAGTAAAGTGTAATGCCTATCGTTGATCAGCCTCTCGAAAATACCATTCATTTGATCCTCAGTCGGAAACATTGAAGCATTTCATGGAATTCAACTATAGGGTAGTGGCGCTTATCATGTACCAGATCCGATGGTAGAATGCACAATTGATAGCTCGTTCCATCACCAAGCTTTAGATTTGAAGATCGATTTGAAGATTTGAATTTGAAGATCCAAAGTGAAATTGGAGATTGATACTGGACGAATGTTTGGGGAAAGAAAGTATAGCAGTCAAACTAATATATAAATATAGAATAAAGGCAACTACTATTC